AAAAAAAAAAAAAAAAAACCTTCATTATTCCAAATTTTTGACTGGTAATGTACATCCCATTCTAAGTGAAATCATATGACATGGCGTCTGACATTCCTCTATAGATCCTGTGCTGAAGGGACAGCCTCTGTCAAACTCAGAAGGCGCTCTGGCAATAAGCAGCTCAACCACAACATGATGGGCTAAAGCAGGTACAGGATGTCACATACAGTCAGTACGCTGTATTTTTGATTAATCTAAAATGCTCTTTTTAATAATTCATTAATTGCTTTTTGAATCTTTCTTCTAGGAAAACCTTTTTACCTCAACATGTCGTGCAGAGACATGCTGCCTTTCAGGTGTGAAGCTTCAGTTTACTGGAGCAAGAAGTTATTAAGCAACACAAGACTTGTACAGAATGAACACAATGGGCTGTAGTCCCTCTCCTACATTCACTTTGTATTAGTGCTGCTTGCCATCGTTATCTAGGTACCAAACCGGTATTTTTCCCCCCATCTCCCCCCTTTTGAGTTGGACATCTCCATTTCATTTTTGGAACGACGCTGAATTAAGCTATGATATTATGACTGGGAAAGAATGCCTGCTCTTTCCCCATGATTCTCAGGCTGTTGATGACTGATGGGGGCTCCCGATCCTGGTTGCATTATGTACTGGAAGATTGTGTTGTTCAGTGACTTGCCCTGCTGATATGAGCTCAGATTATAAACTATAGTATTGTCAGGTATGGAGGCTTTACTGCAATTTATTGAAAATAAGATATATTAAATGAAACTGTTTTTAATCGGTCTCATGTGTTTTTCCCCCCACCATTTTCAGTGTGATAATCAGCTGTGAATGATTGTGAAAGGCAAATATATTTGTATTATGAATTACTTCGTTGATATGAATTTGTCAATTTAATTAAAATAAATATTAGTATATATTGTTAATAATTCATACATAATATGTATTAATATAGTGACAATTTAAAGGAATAGTTCACCCAAAGATTAAAATTTGCTGATGCGTTTGTTTCTTCATCAGAACATATTTGGAGAAACTTAACTTGACATCACTTGCTATTCATTGGATCCTATGCTGTCAGAATGAAAGTTCAAACAGCTGATAAAAGTAAAAGAAATACATGACATAATCCACGATTCCAGTCCATCAATTACAATCTTGTGAAGTGAAAAGCTGTGTGTTTGTAATAAATACAATCCACATCAAAGTCCACCAATATATTTGAATTGTTATATTAGAACTTGTTTAAACTGTTTTCGCTTGTAAATGGTGCTTTATCTCTGCATATTTCTCTCCTGATTCAGATGAGATGACTTTTTCACTGAAAAAAAAAGCATTGTTACGGATATAGGATTTGTATTTTAGTCAGAGGCAATGGTTTGAAGTTTAAAAGGTTTTGATGGTTTTGTTTCGTACAAACAAGCAGCTTTTTACTTCACAGGATGTTAATTAATGGACTGGAGTCATGTGGATTACTTGTGGGTTATTGTGATGTTTTTATCGGCTGTTGGAAAACTCATTCTGACGGCACCCATTCAATGCAAGAAGATCCACTGAGCAAGTGCTGTAATGTTAAATTTCTCCAAATCTCTTCTGATGAAGAAACAGACAGCTACATCTTAGATGGCCTAAGAGAGAACATTTTCAGCAAATTCATATTTAGGTGAACTGTTTAATTATGACACATTTCGCTCCACTCTGTAATATTTCTTTTTTGAAATTCATCACTCAAGACCATGATTCTAGGGACTTCAGTGTACAGTTTTAATGATAACAGCAACTTATCGTGAAGTGTGCAATTTTCGTGCAGTACTGACAATGATAATACAAATGGATATGTGATTTCAAGCATATAACATGTAGCTATGGCATGACGCATGAGTTTGGAACCCATATAAGGCACATCCACATGACCTCCTTTTTTGTTTTCTTCCTGAGTCCGTCACAATCTCAATATGCAGTGAGGAAGCTGGGCAGCTGGACTGCTTTTAAACAAGTACGAAAAGCAGAGGTTGCAGTGGCAACTCTCCTACAAAGGTGTCGCATCACATTAGCACAGGTATTAAAGACCACCAAGGGTGCCCTCAGAAGAACACTGATTATCTCTAGATAGAATACTAGCATTTCATAAGCCCTGATGAGGAAAAATTGTGTCAAAGGGGGCAGTTTTTTCATTAGTGTAATTTTCTTTTTCATAAGGTTCTCAATTAATGTTTTGTTGAAATGAGTCAGCCTTGGTGTCTTTTTGCATTGCTTGCTATACTAAGTTGAAGAAAAAAAATGCGTTTGCTACTTGTGTATAAAGCTAATACCACAGACAATCAGTGTTTAACATGAATACAAGAGGTAAACAATAAATAAATAGAGAAACTGAAAAACTAGTAGAAGAACCTAACAGGAAACTAAATGAAGTGCTCATAGGTTCACGTGTGAATTCTCATAAATACTGTCAGGGTAAATCATTTGATTTAGTGCTCACATAGTTCTGCCTTGTGTGAGATATCAATAACCAGCATGTTGGGATGTGCCCATTACATTATGAGTGCAGTTAAAATACTACATGACCATCTTTCATCTTCTCATGAGTATGGTGGTATTCGGAATGGAATACTAGTTACTGCATACAATGTAGTTAATTAAAAACAGTATGCAAGGCAATTTTCTGTTGTCTTACGATGCATGTTTAAATCAACACGTGACATCCAATTGTCAACTCTGAAATAATTACAACTATTTTGCATTTATATCTTATTTTGTTCAGTCTAATCAGCTAATGAATCAAGCGAGAAATCTTTTGGTTCGGTCATAATACTGGAAACAGAAGGTTAAGTCAAGCCCACTGCATTACAGTACTGCATACTTTGGCATAATGTACTACATCATTTATGTATTCATAAATTTTTCATAAACATTTGCATAGTGCACAGAGTATACTAATCAAATTGCATGAGTATGGTAGTACGCCATTCCGAACATACCTTAAGTTTGCAAGAATCCAAACATGTCTCATGCCTGAGAGTCATATGGTTTTAAAACAGACGATCATTGTATTTGTAAACAGACTTACTGAGTAATATGGCAATTAATGTAGCAAAATACTACAACAATCATTGGACACAACCATGCTGTACGTAATTCTTTCTATGGATGATTATCAAGGATCACGTTTTCATGAAAAACCATCCAAAATTATATCAATCACATGTTTGAAAAATCCCAATTTTCTGGCCTGGGGAAAAAGAAAGAAAGAATGGTTTTGATATTTTTTTGCAACTCTTCATGGAATGAGCTCTTGAAGCTCTGCATCGCTCAGTTCATTCACTGCGACAATGTGGTCGAGGTGTTGAAGATAACGATCTTCATCCTGCATGAAGTGAGGAATCCTAGTTCCATTTAGACCAGCCAAATGCCGAAGTCTGTCCACATCTTCATAGGAAACCTAAAAATAAGAATTACATAAATTGGTATGTATATACATTATCAAAGGAATAGTTTCACAAAAAAAAAAAAAAAGAATATTTCTTTAAGCGTAAAATCCTTAAAATTCCATCAAGGTAGACCTGATCTTTACTGAAGCAACCTGTACACACAAACACACATATGCAAAAACATATATACTACAAATACAGAGAGGCAATATAAAACTAGATAAAGTTTGACAAGACAAACAATGATGTTGGCTTGAGAAATCCTGGCCAGAATGTTTGAAGTATATTTAATATCTTGAAGGTTTTAAGCCTGAAAAAGTGTTATGTATGGATGGACGGACGGACGGACGGACGGATAGATAGGTAGAGGTGCATCTCAATAAATTAGAATGTTGTGGAAAAGTTCATTTATTTCAGTAATTCAACTCAAATTGTGAAA